GTTTTGCTTCAATTAATGAAAATTTAATTCATGCATATAGGTATAATTATTTAATATTCTTTTTTTTTACTATTTTAATTTCGTTTCAAATTTTTTAGACTTTTTTTTATATATAATTTAATATTTTTTTCAATTCTTTTTTTTTTTTAATAATAATTATATGAAATTGCTGAATGTGTAAATTTTTTTTTATTGTAAATATTTTAAATATTCTTTTTTAGAATTTGAATAAAATACCTAAAATTTTTCTTTTTATCTCCTCAACAAATATATTTTATTCGTGATTATTATTAATATAGATTTTTTTTAACAAAATTGTTGAACAATTTAAATTATTGCACAATTTTGTTGCAATTATTGTTTAAAAATCTTTTATTGACAGAAATAATTTATGTCACATAATTAAAAATATTTAAAATTTGTATTACCATTTTTTTCGAAAGTCGGTACAATTTTAGAAATATAAACAAAAGAAATTGTATGAAATGACTCACAGGTGCTTTTGTAAAAAAAATGTAATTTTTATATTTGATGATTATTGATATTTTATATGCAAAACAATTTTATTTTCATTTTTGTTTTCTGTTTTCTTTTGTTTTTTTTTGTTTCTTCTGTTGTTTTTTCGCTTTTTCTTGTATTTTCAGATTTTTTTTAGATTTTTTTTTAGCATTTTTACTTTTTTTTTTATTCTTTCTTGTATTTTTTGTTTTTATTTTTTTTGTTTTTGTTTTTCTTTTGTTCTCCAGTTGCAAAGTAATTAATCGAGAAAAAAAAAATGATTTTTTACTGTTTTAATATTGCGTGACTGAAAATGTGATAATAAAAGCACAATGTGGGTCGTTTACCTGCAAATAATAATGAACAGTGTGTGTTTAATACGACATTAAAATGTTATGTGGTGTGTGTTGGCGAACGAAAATATGATTAGTGGAAGTCATCTAATTATTATAATGTATGCATATTACTATTATAATGTCGATGTTCTAAAACTATAAGGTAAATCAATTACCCTGTTTATCGTTACACTTATAAATATAAATATAATATATATATTTAAAAAAAAAATATAATAAAATTTACAAAAAGCACGAATGCACCCAAAAATCTTTTCGACAGTTGCGCTTATGATGTGTACTATATAGAAATTCAAAAAAAAAGTGTAAAAAAACGCTAATGTCATGTTAAAAATAACTTTTCTTTTAAATTCAGTAAATTTACTTTATTCTTAATTATTTTTCTACACATGAAAAATCAATGATTAAGTATTAAAATATCATTGATATTGATTAAGCAATAATTAAACAAAGAGTAAAAAAATCATATACTTGAAAAAAAAATTTCAAAATAAAAAATTGTTTGCAAACAAAAACGAAAAAAATAGAAGCAAACTGTCGTCTTGTTTTTATCGATTCGAGATGTTGAAATACCTTATTAATAATTACATATATTCGTCGACAAAAATAAAAAAAAAAAGAAGAAGAAAAAGAAATGGACTTGGTGTTATCTTACTATACTCTGAAGAGGCAGACTGAAGTAAATAATATATAATAACGTTGTATACTTTAATGATATAATATATGAATGACGAACGATTAGCATTTAATTTTTGCTTTTAAAAAAAATGATCCTCGTAGCGATCGATCGTCCTCCTATTGTTTTTTTTTTTTGCTCATCTCTTTTATTTGTAATTCTCCTATAAATATAAATAGAATTCATATTATAATTCCAGACCGTGTATCTGTATAAAATAAAGGGTCCCGGAAGAAATATTATATTTAAAAACAAAAAATAAAAAAAATTATTAGTGGCTAGCCTGCAATTGTTAATATTTCAATCGATATATATTATTATATCAGTATATAAGATGAATATTATACATTATACGATAAAATATATGAATTATGTATGTATATTTTACTATTAATGAAAGCTAATTAATAAATAACAACAACAACAAAATACAAAAAAAATAATATAATTAATATTATAATATAATGTGAAGAAATGATATAATTGTATTATATCATTATCAAATGAATGATGATTAATTATGTGCAAAAAATTAATGCAAAAATAAACTATGGAGATATATGGAATTATCATAATGTTATTGTGGAATTTCTTGTGGATACGCCGGTAGCATATATGTATAATCTGATATATTGATGCCTATCCCCTCCACTCACAAAAAAAAATAAAAATAAAAAAAAGAAGTGGCCAGATCAAAATGAAAAACCTGAGATACTGAAAATAAATAAGTATATATGTATAAAAATAAATGCCTCAGCCAGTGAATTTGATTAATTTCTCTCACTTCCCCTTTTTTTATTTAATTAGCAATTTTAATCATTAATTTCCTAATTAATTAAACGAATTTCTTTAATTTGATAATTCGATTAATTTTCTTAATTTGATAATATAACTAACTTCCATAATTTAATAATTTAATTCATTTATTACTAATTTAATTTCTTTAATTTAATAATTTAATTAATTTCCCTAACTTAGTAATTTAATTGATTATTGATTTCCTGAATTTAATAATTAATTAATTATGATTTCTGATTAGAATTAAGAAAAACATTTTGTAATAGTTTCTTTCTTATAATTAATCTACGTCCTCCTACGTGCTTTTAATTAAATTATTAATTATTAACTAATTAACTAAATTGTTATATTAATTCAATTATTATTTCATTATTATTCATTATTAGGATTAATTACCTTAAAATAATAATTATGTCTTGAATACATATTTTAATTATATAATTAATTAACTAATTTATTTTACTCTTGTTATAACTTAATAAATTAATTAATATAATATTTCCTAGTTAGGAATTAGGAATTAGGAAGCATTTTTAAACTAGTCTTTTCTACTAATTATTATTAAAAATTAAATGATTTTAGTTTTATTTAGTTTAGTAGTCTTTAAATTTGAATTAGTAAAAATATTCACTAATTTGAATGAGTTGCTGATTTTTTTACTTTTGGATTAGTAAATTTTACTAATAAATAGTAATATCAACTAATTAATTAGTAAACTTTGATAAAAATTTACTAAAATTTAATTTATTAGTAAAAATGTTTATTAATTTTAATTAGTGACTGACTTTTTGCTTTTAAATTATTAAATTTTACTAATAAATACTAATTTCTAGTAAAATTTACTAATTTAGTAAAATTTGCTAATTTAGTAAAATTTACTAATTTAGTAAAATTTACTAATTTAAAAGCAAAAAATCAGTCGGTAATTTAAATTAGTAAGTATTTTTATACTAATTCAGAGTTAAAGATAAAGTATTAAGAGATTTTATTACATGTTTAAATTATTATTTAAAATTTTTTGATTAATTACCAATAATAATTTTAGAAAAAAGTATTTTATTCTATTTTAAAATATTTTATTTCAAAAAATATTTACGTTTTACAAATTATTACTAATTTAAAAATTATTATTCTATAAATTTAATCGATAAACAATAATTAATAATAAAAATGCTTTAATTTTTCCAGAATTAAAAATTGCGTTAGAAAATTATATTTTTCAATTAGTTTCCAAAATAAAATTAATTCTGAAATATTTCATGAAAATTATTAAAATTTTATATAGTAGGTACTAATTTGATAAAAATGTCAACAATTTTTTATTTTTTTTTCGCTAAAAAATTTCTCTACGTATAAATGTTAAAGTTCTTTTATTTTTAAGTTATAAAATTTAATTTTTGTTAATTTTAAATTTACAATTTATATTATATATTTTTTTTATATAATTTACATAACATAATTTATTATTTTTAATTTCTATTTTTTATTATTATATTAATTTTTTAATAAAATTTATAAATTTACACAAAATAAAAAAATTTAAAGCAAAAATTACCAATATTATTTTTTCTTTCAGTTAATTTTTTTATATCTTTTCTTGAAATTAAATTCAAAAAAATTTTATTTCGGATATTTTATTACTTTTATTATGAATTTGATCGTATTATATTATTATTATTATTATATTATTTGATAATATTTTCTTTATTTTTTTATTGTTTAATTTTATTAATAGTAATAAATTGTATGATTCATTATAATAAAATTAAGTTCTAAAAATAATAAAATATGTGACCTTTAGCGCTTCTTATAATTAATATCATTATTAATTTATAATATTATTTCTTAGATCGATTATAATAAATTCAACGAAATTTTTATATTATTTGTTTGCGAATGAAATAATATAGAAAATTAATTTTTAACATGAAATTCATGTACCGAAAATAAAAATAAAAGAAAAAAATAAATTATTTGAAAAATACTTATTCTTACATGTATTAATTATTCTAGAGGTGAATAATTAATTATTAGGATTTAATTTTTTAAATTTTTTATTTATTATTTAAAGATACCTAATAATAAATAAATAATAATAAACAAGTAAATAAATAAATAATAATAGAAATAATAATAAATAAATAAAATCAATTTATAAAATTTATAAAAAAAATTGTATACTAATTATAATAATAAGATTATATAATTTAAATAATAATGTAAAAATATTTTGCCAATTCGTGACAATAAAAATAGTAAGTACACTAAATAAATAATTACTATTATATTAAATTTAGTATACGAATACAGTTTTTAAAAACTGAAATATATTATTATATATTATGTAAATTTCATGTAAATTAGAAATAATTCCGTTTAATTAAAACTATTATTATCCCCATAGCTATTAGATGTTATCCCTTAAACAAGTCACGTGATCGCAATTGACGTCAGCGGAAATTATAACATTTAAATAACTTTAAAAACATATTCGTAGATATCGATCAATTTCAGAACCTATTTTTTAATTAATTCAACAAGTTTTCTTCGTAACAGATTATTATAATTAAAATTAAGCTCTTAAGTTTTTAATTCTGTTTTACCGACAGATTTTTACAATCAAAAAATTCGCGCCACATTTTTTCATTGGCCGACTGCAATAGAACTTTCTGCGCATGCGTTTGCGCAATGCGCATCAGGATTACAGTGATGAACTTTCCATTCATTATTGTGAATTTAATTCATTTAATTTAAAGTAGTGAACAAATTAATGAATGTGTAATATGTATCGCTTATAATGAGGTTAGTTTTTGTATTGACAGTCTGTGCATATATTTCGACAAAATTTGCCGAGTCCTTAATACTTTCGGCTACAAATAAAACACCGGAAATACAACAGGAATACAGACCCGAGGGTCCTTTAGTATTGTGTAAATTTTTGTAAGTATTTGTTTATTTTTGTAAGGAAACAATTGACACACTGAGACAAATTGTATAAAAATTACCTTTTTTGGAGTATTTTTGATAAATTCTATGAAATTTAATTCAACTCGAAGAAACTATAATTTAAACATGATTGAAATGTAACTTTTGACAAAGTTTCTTGTTGACAATGAACTGTAAAAGAAAATTCACTTTTCAGACCCAGAGAATTTATTGATTGTGAGGAACCGATAGATCTCAAGGGAAATAAAACTGCAAAAGAGGAAACTGGTCTTGGCTGCGTAAAAGTAAATATATTCCTGTAACAATATCTTTTTTGCCATGAGTTTTTTTGTTACACATAACCTAAAAACTAGAACTTCGGTTTTGGAAAATAGTAAATAATTCTTTACTTTTAGTATAGAATTCTTTCCTTTTTGATGACTGTTTTTAACGTTTGAATAAACAAAATATTTTTTATTAAAATTATTTCTAGAAATTACCGATTGTGGTAAAAAAATTGCCAAGAAAAATAATAAGAGCCCTGTAATAATAATATAAAGTAAATTTAAGACTTCTAATTTAGGCAAATAAATTTTCAGTTCGGTGGTGCTCGTTGGGAAGATGTGGAAAAAACAAAAGTGTCCTGCACAGTTTTACCAGACATTGAATGTTACGGAAGCAGGCACTTTTATCGTGAGGGTGTGCCTTGCATAAAATACAGTGGACACTATTTTACAACAACTCTCTTGTACAGTATACTTTTAGGTTTTCTCGGCATGGATCGGTTTTGTCTCGGACAAACCGGCACTGCTGTAGGTAAATTATTAACTTTAGGTGGCTTAGGAATTTGGTGGATTGTCGACGTTATTCTAATAGTAACGAATTCATTACTTCCCGAGGATGGAAGCAATTGGAATCCTTACGTTTAGAATTAATTAACATTCTGTTAATTAATTAATGAATATTTTGTAAATAAAAATTTCTTTTGTACATAATATATAAGAAGCCGAGAGAGTGCAATTACCATTTAATTGAATATCAATTATCTTTCAAGTATAAAGACTGATTATTATGGAGCAATATTAACACTGTTAAGTTGTCATCGAATAAGTATTAATAAGTTGCTTTTTTAAAAGATGAAAATAATAAATATATTTAGACAAATAAAAGTAGAAAAATAAAAATGAAATTCTTTTCTCTACCTTGACTATTTTTTGTGCGAGGTTAGGAAAATTGAAAATTAAATTTTCCACAAATTGTATTTATAAAAAAAACAGTTTACAAAATGCTAATAAGCACTTTGTTGCATTTAGTTATTGAATCAGTTGATAATGTACAGATTCTAGAAATTAAATTCTCAATAATTTCGTTTAATAAAATATTTTTGTGATCGTCAAAGTTCGTAATCATCAGGGTGATATAATTCACTGAGTAATCTATAGATATACGAGGGAGCATTTCCACCACTGAAATCAAGAATTACAAAATTAGAATTACGAAATTTAAATTTAATTTTTAATTTAAAGTTAAATATAAATTTAATTTTAAATTTTAATATAAACATAAATTTAATTTTAAATTTTAATTTAAATAAGATAATTAAAATTTAATTTTTTCTAGTATTTTTTAATATACTTACGTGTTTGAAATAAATAGTGTGACAAGTTCAGGAGGTACGTAATCAATGGCAGGATTGTAGGCGCGAATTTTATCCATAAGTTGAATATTGTCTGTGGGAATGACACCCTGACTAGGAGATAGGTACGTATTAAAGCCTTCTTGCTCATAAAGACATAAATATTCGGGAGAAAGTTTATAAAGCGGTAAAAGAACCATAACTGGAACATAATAATGTTTCGCAGCTTGTGCAACTGTATACGTTCCGGATATTGCTTTAAGGCCACCATTCAACATAACCGTGTGCGTTGATACAATAACTTTATTGACACGCGACATCATTGCAAAAATTGCCGCATCTGAAATTAAAGTCGTCTTAATATTTGCTTTCGCGAGGTTCACTGCCATTTGGTGACCCTGAAAAAAAAATAAATCAATTTTATAATTACATAATTACAGTAAATCCATTTAATAATTACATAAATAAAATAAAACAATTTAATAATTACATAATTAAATTAAATCATTTTAATAATTAGAATTATAACTAATTAATAATTGGAATTAGAATTCAAGAATTATTAAGAAATAAAACAGCGTTGCCACAGGTCAGGGAAAAATCAGGGAAAAGTCAGGAATTTTTATTAAAAGTACTGTAAAAAATTTAATTTTCAGAATTTATAAGAAAATTCTGAATTTAGGTGACTTTTTTGTTTGCCGCATTAACTATAAAATTACAACAAATTTTAATACAAAACATTCGTTTTTTTCCATTTCTGACAAAAATTTCTATTTAAATAACTTAATTCTTGAAGAATTTCGATAAAATTATTACTTATAAATTCTTTAATGAATAATTTTACTTAAATAATTCAAAATCAATTGTGAATTTTAAAACAGTTGCGTTTACAATTTTCTTAAATAGATGAAGTTTAAAAGGTTTTAATTTGAAATTTTAAAAAATTTCAATTTTTAATGAATTTAATTAAAAATTTAAAAACACTAAATATTTTTGAAAAAGGTGAAAAACAAAATTAAGTTTTTGTGTCAACCCGGCAGAAACAGAAAATTAAACTTACTTTTAAATCAGATCCACCTTCAGCAACGATTACTTCAAATGTTCTGGTTTTAGCAGCTTTCTTAAAAAACTCTTCTACAAGTCTCGACCGACCAATTGTCAATATAATTTCACTGGAGTGAATGTGCTCCGAGGCTTGTTGTGTAATATTTTCGTAACTAAATCAAAATAATAATGGATAAAAAAATGAATTCAACTGAAATAAATTCAGTGAAGTGATTCATTATAATTAGATGTCTAATTTAAAAACAATTTCTATACCATGTTTCCAATTCAACTTCGAATTCATTAATATGTTCAACGAGAGCTTCTTTAAGAAATGGTACAGAGACATTGAAATCAATATCACGTTCATTTTTCGAAGTAATAATTTTATGAAGCGATTCCTGAGGATCAGCTTCTTCCGTTTTGTTCTTCAATTCCGAGGAGTATTCCTCTCTTATTATGTGCAATATCCGTCGAATCATATTTCCAATACACGTTTCTAATGGTATTTCCTTCATTAAATGCTTTCCATTTAATTTTACTAAATCCATAACAGATCTGCGAAAAAACGATTCGTATTCAAAAATCTGTAACTTTATCAAAATTTATCCCATTTTTCCTTTCTACTCACTGTGCAGTTTTCCATTCTGTATTATTTATTACTTCCTTTAATGTTGAAACAGTGACTACGACAATTTCATAAGTGCCTTCAATTTCACTAAATTAAATAAAAGAGAAAGTAATTAAAAAATTAATCCCTTATGTAAATTTCCCGAAAATATTGCAATTCAATTTACCCATGTTTTATTTTGTTGATTAAATTTAAAATCTTCTCGTGAACTTTTACATCTGACAAAGAATCCATTTCTTTGATTATAGAGCTTCATTAAATTTTTTTAGACAATTTTTTAAAAATAATTTACTATTTTTTATTCACAGATGTTTTCAATCAAATGTTTTTGACATCAGCATCAGCCTGAATTTTTAGGTTAGAAATATAAGCCAATGAGAAGTAGTTTACTCGATGACCAATCAGAATGTTGGGCGGGTATTTTAGGAAAGTAATTAAATTCTTATTGGAAATTATTATTAAAATTCTTCTTTTTGTACTCTTTTTATACTATTCTTTTGGGTTTTAGTTTTATTAATATTTAATTTATCAATTTTTGGTGATTTTAATCAAATTTCTGCATTATTCTTTTTGTTTTTACATATCCGTGAAGTTGTCTCTTTTTAAATTATTAAAACAGTGTGTACACTCTCTGCAGCAAGTCTGCAACTCTCTGTTTACTTCAGAGTATAGTATCTGATTGTTGATTGATATCCCAATAATATTTTTCGATAAACCCATAAAAATTAGAAAATATTGTTTCAAATGTAACTTTATTGTTACCGTTTAAATTAACTCTATTTATAATATAGAATTAAGTGGAAACAAATCACACTGTCAAAATGCCTAGTAAACGAAAAAAATACAACGCTCGATTTCCAGCAGTAAGTTAAACATGTTATTTTATCGTTTAATTTTAGTAAAACAGGGTAGATCTTTTACTTCTGTTATTATAAATAAAGATTAATTTTGTTGTAAACATTGTTGAAATTAGCCAAGTGTTGCGGAAATTTTATCGGGAGTAATATTAAATTCTAACATAACCTCACTTTTTTCTAGGGTCGAATAAAGAAAATTATGCAAACTGATGAAGAAGTAGGAAAAGTCGCTCAAGCAGTACCAGTTATAATTTATATCCTTTTTTTATACATTGCAGTAATTAATTAAAAATTATTTTTAATCGTTAAGCAAAAGAATTGTGTAACAAATTGTCAACTTAACGTTGAGGTTATATTGTGACATAATATTTAGAGTTGCCAACAATTATAGTATTTTACTTGTCGAAATTTTGATATTATTCTAAATTTTGTTTTTTTATTTTTTTATTAGTAAATAGATTTTTAGTATTTATTGTTTAATTATGACAGTATTCACGTTCTTGATTTTGTTTTTTCACCGAAATGTTCGTCCTTAACTGTTTATATACCTAGGACACTAGAATTATTTGTACATTCGTTACTAACGAAAACTATGCAAGTCACAAATTCTAAAAATGCTAAAACTTTGAGTCCATCTCATATGTGAGTAAAAATTTTATTCAAAAGAAAAAAATTCTTTGGTTGAGAAAATGTTTTCTAATTTTTTCGCTTTTTTTAGGAAACAGTGTATTTTGTCCGAAAGTCGTTTTGATTTTCTGAAGGATCTAGTAAAAGGCCTTCCTGACGTATCGGGTGCAGATGAAGATGTTCCAACTCCGCCACTAACACCTGCTCCAGTTAGTTCGATGCCCGGAAATATGGGCTGTCCACCTTTATTGATAAAATCCGAGCCCGAGTAAGTAAATTAAATTGTACATTGATTTCTTGATTTTAATAAATTATAAGGCTAATTTAATTGATTAATTAAAAAATATATTTATTAATTCAATATATTCATCAATTCAATAAATAAAACGTACTTTATTTTTTGAAATAGTTTTCAATTGGAGAAAAATTACAACTCATCATCATGTCGAGTGTCCAAGGATTTCAAGGGACTGGGACATTCAAATTCAAGTCAATTAACAAATATGTCGAGTGTCCCAGAATTCCAAATGTCAACACCAGCATCATTTGGCGTTCCCCAACCAAATTTTTATACAGAACTAAAGCCAATGAATTTGGTTGGAAGTCCATCGAAACTAAGCGGTACTAATCAGGCAATACCAAATTTCAGTCACACTGCCAATATTGATGAAGATTACGATACGTAGTAAGATTTTTTTTTCTAAAAATCTCTATAGTTTAAATATTAAGAAAAAAAAAGGAAAACTGTGTCCATATTGCTCTATTTAAGTCTGACATTTTAGTCAGTATTCTCATAAGTCAGTGATCGAATAATGTTTATATTTTACGTCAACGATGATGACTTCTTTAATTTAAAAACAAGAACATACAATTATGATCACAATTTATTGATTTTGTTCCAACGTTCAAATTGAAAAATCATTTTTGTAGAATTTTTTTCTTAGATATTTACATAAAAATCTATAATTTATTCCTTAGCTTAGATTTGTATCATGACTGATGCATATTTGTGGCATATATAATTATCAGTTTTTTTTTACAATTTTTTTTTTTTGTTTATTTTTCAACTTTTTAAGTTTGTAATTAAAATAGTTCACAAATGTTAGCTTTAATTCTTTGTATATTTACGTTAATTCATTTTTCTTTGAAAGGCACTTTTTTTCTTCGAATGTTCAGATAACTCGACATTTATGTAAATACATTATTCGAAAAAGTGCACATAAAAGAATGAAGCAAAAAAAAAATCAATTAAATATGAAAACTAGTTCGTAATTTATAAAACAATTTAAATATTTGGATAATATTTAAGTTTAACATTGTATCATGAAATAAAAGACTAATCAAATGATGAATATTGTCTACTTTAATGCAAAAATAATTAATTCAATTATTAAATTCTATTGTTTTTGAAAATTATTATTTTTAATCTAAGGAAAAGGGTATTTTGCTGAGTGAAACACAAAGTTGTAGAAAAAAGTACAAATATTTTAACATTAGTGCATTACAGGGTTTACACTTACAAAACTATTTCTACTACAACTATTTAATTAACAATTTTTTTTATATTTATTTACAAGGTAGCGCACTTTAAAAAAAAACATTTCTCTGATTTTTGTTAAACTCCAAAATTGAAAAACTTGACGATTATAATTAATAATCATTAAATTATTTTGTTTCTAAAATCTTTATCGCTTTTATTAATATAAATTTTGATTATTTCTAAAAGTTCTCAATGATTAAATAAGATTCTTTTTATTTCGATTTACAATATTTTTTAACTGAAAATGAAATTATTTTAATTATTGACAATTAGAAATTAATAAAATTATGTATTAAATGTCTGATATAAATAATATCTGATTATAAAATATGTTTATAATTATTACGTTAATTTGGTTAATATAATTTTTTTCGATACAATAACTTACAATTGATTTATAATTTTTACAATTAATTTTTATATAACAATTATTCCGTTATATTTTCAAAATAGATTTTTATTCAAAATAAAACTTCAATCGTTTAGAACTTAAAGTAACAATTTTTTTTTTTTCAAGATTTATTTTTAAAAAATGAACTTTTTTTTGTTTTTCTAGAAAAAACAAATTAAAAAATTAATAAGAAATGCGAAAGAAATTTTGAAAAAATTATGCGATGAAATACGGAAAAAATTATGTACACTATAAATTAATAATAATAATAATTATTATAATAATAATAATATACAATTCAATGATATTTTGTTAGTATTTTCATTTCGCTTCTCTTTAATGGAAGAAAATAAGATGTTTCAGCATTTTATGCCGAAATATTATGCTTTTATTACATAAGTTAGCATTTAAAATATAAATAAACATTTTTTATTCGTTGCTTAAAATAATAATTTTAAAATAAAAGAAAAAAAAATTCCAAAGTTTCAGAATGTTTATTCTATTACAATAATAATGTATTATAAGAAAAATAAAATTAATATATTTATAGTAGAATTTTACTACTAACGTCGATAAATAATTTAAACATGTTTGGCAGTTTATTTCTACTAATAAAGTTTAATCAAGTGATTTTTTTTCTTTAATTAAAGTCCAAAAAAATGACTTTAATAAAAAAAAGAAAAAATTTTGCTCTATTAATCATAAGGTCGATAATTTATTTTTATAATAATATTTATAAATATTAACATGATACTGGAATTGAATTATTTTTTATGTTATTTCAATTAACGACCTAATAATTATTCTAGTCAACTATTTATGTTTTTACTCAATGGTGCTTTTAATTAACAATATTAACTTTCAAAAAATTGTTAGCACCGACGTTTCAATGTTTTAATTTGTTTAACTAATCCTTTTTACTACTTAAACACTAAATTTTTAATATCTTTCAAAATTTACATTAAGCACCAAGACATTATAACCAGTTAATGTATAATATATACTTATTTAAATCTATTTTAAATATAATAATTATAATATATAATAATAATTTTAATAATAATAATAATATAATAATAATAATTTTAATAATATAATAATAATATAATAATAATAATTATAAAAGATAATAATAAAAATAGTAATAATAATAGTTACAGTGATAAGAATAAAAATAATAATAGCAATAATAAATACCTATTATGCGTACACGTTTTTTTATAAGAAAAAATATTCTTAATTTGTGCGTTTTTTACGTTAAAAAAATTTTCTATTTCATTAAAATTAAGATTTTGATCTTAATTCAAAAAAATAATGTTTTAATCCTAATTTTGTCAAAATTGAGATTTTGATCTCAATTTTATTTTAAAATTAAGATTAAAAATTGTTTAAGTAAAAAAAAAATGTCTGTTAATTTGATAAAACGATAAATAAATTGATTCTATTGTCTTTTGAGAGAGCATTATCTTTGAGTTTTAAAAAAAAGTTGAGAATTTCTTTTATAAATCGACTATAATAATTTTTTTTCGGTTAAAAAAAATTATAATTTAGTTACTGTAAATTAATTATATGTACAAAAATGTCAATTATTTGTAAGGCAATGCAATTGTGAAAGTATTTTATATTTCTATTCTTTTCTCTAGATAATTAATAAAAGAAACCAATTTACTAATTATATTCACTGGGACAGTAGCTAATAATTAAAATTTATTGCACTCTTGTATTTTTATTAAGACTCAATATGAAAAAAATTATCTAATTTTCGTTCAAAATTGAAATTTATTTCCGTCTATTTGAGTGCTGAGCGTTTTTCTAGTTCTTTACAGAAAATATGTACATCTTTTTTTTTAATTTTGACGTTTTTTTGAAAATAGTTCCTTGAGATGAAGGTACAGAATAATTTCTGTTGTATGTTGAAAAAATAAATTCGAAAATTGAAATTACAGAGGTAAAAAAAACATTGAAATAGAGCATTGTCTTACAATTAATTGTCGACATTTCCCTCGTAAAGCGATTCGCATTTTTCTAATAAACGAAGAATCGGACTGATATTGTATTGAAAGAGGGTTTTCGAAACGAGCCTTTCAACGGTTAATCTCAGTCTAATAAGCACTGTCATGGTATTGTCCAATTCATCGCCACAACAAGACACAAACTCGGACCAATTTCTCTTAATGTATTTCAAAAACCTGAGAAGATAGAGTAAAAAACATGTCTCCGTACCAACTAATAAATCAACAAGTACCGATGGATCGTAAGAAATTGCTCGAACAAATTGCATGAAAGTCAACGTTGGTCTCAACATTGGTCCCAAATCATTTTGCGGTGGACCTCGATAAAATAATCCAACGGCCACGTCCAAACAACAGACCATTCCCTCAATGAGAAAATCATCCTGATCGTTAAATACCTGAACGACCCATTGCGACAATGGCATTTCCGGATGAAATGGCAAAAGCGTTTTCACACAATGATCCAATTGTCGTAACACCTCACGAATACTTCTCTCAATCACCGCCATATCAGCGTCGATATCCTCAGCCTCCGAACCCAGTGACGAATCACTCGAATCACTTCGTGTCTCCTTCACCGTGACAGCCACACTCTTCAGCACAAGTAGAACAATTTTCTGCAACAACGGTCGATCACCATCGCCAGAACCACCACCAAAACGCCCTGAACCCTGCCGATAGGGCAAAGCGTCCAATAATCTCCAATCCTTCACCGCGCGGACAATTAAATGCGCCAATGAGCACGGTTCATCCGGAAGAATATCCTGCAATGACAAAGTACTCCCATAGCAGAGAACTTCATTAAACAATCCAAGAAGATGTCGCCAAATAACACCCGGAACATTCACATTCAAATGCATCACCATATTGTCCAATTGCGAGAAGAACATTTTCGTATCAATCACCGAGAGATTTGCCTTCACCGATATTATCGATTCCCAAAGTTCAAGGAATATTAGCACTGCCGATTCATGTTGCGGTGTATAAGAGCCGAGTATCGTGTCAAATTTCGAGACTAAAATAATCCACTTTGATTCCAATGCCTTCACACACATTGCTTTCACTGGTGTTGAATCCTCCGACTCGGGATCTAGTTGAATAATATTACAATGTAAAGAAACACCGGGATTTTCAGCGTCCTCGACGGGATGTCGTAGATCGTCCCTATGCTCGACCACCCTCTTCACCACGTCCAATGTGAAGAGCATTTGACTCGGTGAATGTGTATTTAATAAAGATTGTGTCAGTCGATCGAGCCATGCCGGTTCAATATTCTCCTTGGTCACAATGAAAAATGAAGCCAATGCACGACTTGCGGCAAAGGAAATAAATTTATTTGACGTACCAGAGAGATCGATTATTTGATCAATAATCCCGTGTTCGTTACGTGCTAATGCTTCACAAACGTCTGCGATACGACTGCACATTATGTGCTTTGTACTCTGTTTAATAGCGACATCGAATAATAATTGTAAGGCACTTATAAATTCGAGTGTTTTATCCGGTTCCCAATCGGAGAGTAATTGCGTTCGATATTCACCATTTGACGTTTCAATTGTCGTACCAGTGAATGGTTTACGTAGACTACTCTCGGGAATATTGCACAGACATTGTGCGAGGAGACTTGTTTGAAACCTTTCGATTTCGGTGATTGCATCATCTTCCTCCTCTTCATTTTCGATACGTTGCTTTTTCTTTGCAGGTTCCTCCATCGTTTCACTGGGAGGATTTACACCTTGTCGTCGAAGTACCATCAGCGAATTACTGACGTTTTTTTTCCTATTCCCTTCTCATTCTCTCCATTTTAATCAAATAGGGTTTTGTAAATTATTTCCATTTACAATGTAGACGATGGAATGGTTTTAATTTCAGCTGCCCACCTGAAAGAGAGGAAATTAATTAAAAACAAATTCATTTTTCTCTGAAATACTAAAACTAAATCAAGATTGCGACAATAATTTTGATTTTTCCTGACTTTTCCCTAATTTTCAGACAAAATTTTAACTTTTTCCTTGAAGAATATTCTGATTCACTCTAAAATTATTAAATACTCAAAAAAAATGTTTTATTACATTTATTTACGAATTTCTTCAAAAGTAAAATTATTCGAAAACCAATAAATAATTCTTTTTTGAATAAATATTTAATTATTATTTTTCAGTAGGAATTAAAATTCTTCAAAAGATTCAAATTCAAGACCTTTTTGAAATTCAACAAATTGTAAGAATATTAAAGATGACTGAGTGATAAAATTATTTTATATTATTAAAATATTGTTACTTTAACATCTACAAAATTACTTTCATCATTTCAATTTAATTATTATTTTCTAGAATTTATAACTAAAATTCTTCTGTAAATTATAATTATTTTTAATAATTTTTTAAAAAGTTCTTTGAAAATTTTCAATTTCATTTCTTCATAATTCAATTTTACGAAATTTCATTGATTATTCGAAAATTCTTCAATTAAATACAAATTAAAAAATAAAAACTTTAAATATTTTCAAAAGAAATTCAATCAAATTTAAAAAAAAAAAATTAAGTCTACAGAATTGTTAGTTAAAAGTATGAAAAATTCATATTTTCAAAGATTTTAACTTGAAACCTTTTCAAAATTCAATTATTTTTAAAAATCCACGCTCTAATGCTTTAAATATTCAATTATCTAAAATTTTTATGTAAAATTAATTTTTGAATTAAATTTTATTTGAAAATTCCACGAGAATTCAAATATTTAAATACGAAAATGATTTCTTCAATAATTGAATGTTTTTTAAAATTCAATTCTCAAAAAGAATTTTTAAATAATTGAATTCTTTTGACGAATTTTAATAAAATTCTTTAAAATAATTACATTTTTCGAGGAATTTGATTGAAATTGCATTAAAAATTATTAAAATCCTGGTATTATTTATTAAATCAATTTTTATTTGAAAATTTGACGAGAATTCAATTATTTAAAGACAAAAATTAATAATTTATTGCATATTTGAATGGTTTTTAAAATTCAATTCTCAAAAAAAATTTTATCAAAAAAATTGTTAAGTAATTAATGGAATTATTGAGAAGTAATTTATAAAAATTTGAGAAATAATAGAATTCCTGTGAAAATTTTATTATTTATAAAAACAATTAAATGTTTGTGTAGAATTTTAACAAAAATGTTTTGTTTAAATAATTGATTTTTTTTTTTGAAACTGTTATTAAATTAGTGGACTATGAAAATTATTGAACTGCTGCCAAGAATTTTATCAACATTTTTGAAAATTATTGAAATTTTGCGATTAGTTTTATTATTTATGAAAATATTAGAATATTTGTAAAAAAATTTATTTATTTATTAAAAAAAAAGTTAAAGGTTTGCGTAGAATTTTATGACATTTTTTTTTTAATAATTAAATTCTTTTGAAATTTTTTTTAAAAATTGATAATAAAAATCGTTGAATTGAGGAAAATTTTTAAATGTAATTGAAATTTTACAAGAATTTTATTAAAATTTTTGAAAATAATTGAATTTAGGAGAAGAAATTTATTATTTTTTAAAGATAATTGAAATGTTGACCAGAATTTTAAAAAAATTTTAGAACATAATTTAATTTTTTTGAAGAATTTTATTACTTTTGAAAATAATTGAATTTCTACTATCATCAGCTGTAAGTGCTCCAAAATTAAATGTTTTGAGTGTTTTTAACTTAAATTCTTGTATAAGTCTATTATTTTTAATAATGATCTAAATATTAAAAAAATTAGATAGTTCTTCAAGAATTAAGTTATTTAAAAAGAAATTATTGTCAGAAATAGAAACAAGATGTTATTTTACAAGTCTCTATAAAATTCCACAACAAAACTGTAAATTTACTGAAATTTCTTTTTACAGTATAAATAATCACAGTAATTAAGATTCTACAAAATAAACAAACGTCATTGAAACGACATTTCATTTGGAAGCAATAAGCAACAAGTGTCAAACTCGACTGCAGAAAAAATAACCTAGAAATTCGAAAACTGTCAAATCTCCAGTTTTTTAATTTTGAAAAGTAAAGAATGTCAGTGTCAATACAGTTAGCAGATCAAAACAGAAGCAATAAAATTTTTTTTTGGAAATACAGTAGCGAAATTTAAATTCAAATTAAAATTCTCTATTATCAACTATTAACAATAGTTTTAATCTCAGATTTAAAGAATGTCGCAATAAATACCTCTATATCAGTGGAATATGTCATTTTTGAAATCCAAATTCTATCCATGATTTTTCGATTCATTACACTGTTGTATAAATGACAATCAATGATTCCTTCCTCCCTTTCGTTTTGTAATAATTAAAAATCAATCAAAGCACACTTTTTGTCACAATATTGTAAAGATACAATGACTTTCTCCGTTCATCAAAATGATTCCAAGATGCCCAAAGGGATGAAAATAATTTTTAACATAGATTCCACAATATAATCTCTATATAAATATGACGCTCACTAGTCCGTTTTGTATGTAATTCCCATTAGAAAAACACTCGTTGATAAACTTGTAATGACAAATTATTTCTCAATGAAAATAATTGTCTTGTTAAACTTTAATGAATTTTTCAAATAAAACTTTCGACTTTTTTAATGAAATAAATTTATTTTTTGTTTGCAATTGAAGAATATTATTTGACTAGGAAGTGACTGTTGCAGCCAACGGGAAAAGGTTTGCCTTGTTGCCAAATGTAACTGCTACTATGTAAAAATGTGAAATTGAGATAAATTTTTGGAAAAATGGTACGTGCTGTTATCAAAATGACAGTATGGGTTGAAAGTTAGTTGAGAGTAGTTTGCTAATTGTATTGGGATGAATTTATTGGAGTTATGCATTAATTTTTTGTACGGCATCATGCAGAGCTGCGTAACACAGTAGCTGCTCCTCGCAAATTCCACAACGCACTAAACTAGGATTATGAAAATCGCTTAAATAATTGATTTCTAAACAATTTCGTTGTTTATTAAATATTCAAAAATGATGTTTAATTGGGTTTTAGTTTATAAAAATGATCGATTTCAAGAAAAAGAATTGAAAATAAGGGGAATATGTGGCAACATTGCATCGGAACTAGCGCCATTTGGAAATTACGAGAAACATTTGTGTTTACCATTCGAGATGGAAGTCGCCACGTGCTTCTTACTTTGACCGCCAGATGTCAGGGTGAGGCACTTTAATGAATTTAAATGCTGCCGGTTGCGATAGGTTAGTTTTTCATTTTAAGTTTCAAACTGTCAAGATGTTTTTATTTTCTCGTTATTTATTTATTTATTATAGAAATAGAAGGTATCACTTTCTTAGTTTTTCATACTTTTTAGAATGAAACGGAAATGGAAATACAAAGTTTACTCCCGAGGAAGCAAAATAACTCACTGTAAGGATTAAAAAAACAAAACAAACCCAAAGATGAAATTGTGATGCGAAACTTTTGGTAAGTAAAGTACGTTTTTGCAATTTTGTGATAATAATTATAGTTTTAAAATTTATTCTAAACTAAATTGTTCGATACAATTTGAAAAATTTTAGAAAAATTACAGATTGCAGAAAAATTTAATTATTTTCCAAAGTAATAAAATTCTTCGCAGAAATTCAATTATATGTTCAACAATTTTTGTTAAAATTTCAATTATCTATATAAATAATAAAATTCTTCTTCAAAATTCAATTATTTTCAAAAATTTTAATAAAATTCTTCTTCGAAATTCAATTATTTTCAAAAAATTTAATCAAATTCTTGGCAAAAATTCAATTGCTTTCAAAAATTTTCCTCAATTCAACGGTTTTCAATATCAATTTTAATAAAAGTTTCCAAAAGAATTTAATTATATTCAAAAAAAATTTCATAAAATTCTATGCAAACCTTTAACTTTTTTTTAATTTTTAATAAATAATAAAAATTTCACAGGAATTCAATTATTTTTATAAATAATAAAATTCTTTTCAGGAATTCAATTATTTTCATAAACAATAAAACTCATCGCAAAATTTCAATTATTTTCATAAATAATAATATTTTTTACAAAGATTCAATTGTTTTCATAAATAATCAAATTCTTTTTGGAATTCAATTATTTTCATAAATAATAAAACTCATTGCAGAATTTCAATTATTTTCAATTGAATTTTAATCTAATTACTCGAAAAATATAATTATTCTTAAAAATTTTATTAAAATTCGTCTAAAGAATTTAATTATTTGAAAATTTGTTGATAAAATACTTGTCAAAAATTCAATTACTTTTATTATATCTACTATTTTAATAAAATTTTCCAAAAAATTCAATTATTTAAAAAATTGTTTAATAAAATTCTATGCAGAAAATTTAATTGTTTTCATAAATAATAAGAATTTCCTAGAAATTCAATTATTTATCAAATTTTTATAAATTTCTTCGAAATAATTCTATTATTTTCATAAATAATAAAATTTTTTTACAAATATTCTAATATTTTCATAAATAATAAAACTAATCGCAAAATTTCAATAATTTTCAAAAATGTTGATAAAATTCTTGGCAACAGTTAATAATTTTTATAGTCTACTATTTCAATAAAATTTCTATTTAATCAAATTTTAATAAATTACTTCTCAATAATTCCCTTATTTTCATAACTAAGAAAATTCTTTTAAAATGCAATTATTTTTAGAAAATTTATAAAAATTCGTCGAAAGAATTAAATTATTTATAAATTTGTTGATAAAATTCTTTACAAGAATCCAATTTTAAGAAACATTCGATTACTCAATCAATTATTAATTTTTTTCGGCTCGGTGAAAATAGCGACCCGCCGGCCGCCAGCCATCAGAACGCTGGCTATCAAAAATTGTTTTAGAAAATTCCTATTGGTTCAATGAAAAGAAGCATTAATCCCTTTTTAATTTGCGACCATGAAATAAACATTTGGTCTAAAATTGTTCGAGTTATGAATTTTTTTTGAACTTTTTTTCCAAATTTTCGTTTTTCTGATACGGGCGGGTGGGGACGCTGGCTATCAAAAATTGTTTTAGAAAATTCCTATTGGTCCAATGAAAAAAAACATTAATCCCTTTTTAATTTGCGACTAAGAAATAAACATTTGATCTAAAATTGTTCGAGTTATGAATTTTTTTCCGATTTTTTTTCCAATTTTCGTTTTTCTGATACGGGCGGGTGGGGATGCTGGCTATCAAAAATTGTTTTAGAAAATTCCTATTGGTCCAATGAAAAAAAACATTAATCCCTCTTTAATTTGCGACCAAGAAATAAACATTTGGTCTAAAATTGTTCGAGTTATGAATTTTTTTCCGATTTTTTTTCCAATTTTCGTTTTTCTGATACGGGCGGGTGGGGATGCTGGCTATCAAAAATTGTTTTAGAAAATTCCTATTGGTCCAATGAAAAAAAACATTAATCCCTCTTTAATTTGCGACCAAGAAATAAACATTTGGTCTAAAATTGTTCGAGTTATGAATTTTTTTCCGATTTTTTTTCCAATTTTCGTTTTTCTGATACGGGCGGGTGGGGATGCTGGCTATCAAAAATTTTTTTAAAAAATTCCTATTGGTCCAATGAAAAGAAGCATTAATCCCTTTTTAATTTGCGACCAAGAAATAAACATTTGGTCTAAAATTGTTCGAGTTATGAATTTTTTTTTTATTTTTTTTCCAATTTTCGTTTTTTTGAGTAAAGGGTGATTATTGCTCCTTAAAATGTGACAATTGAAAATTTTTTAAATATATTTATGATAGACAACGTTCCCACCCGCCCGTATCAGAAAAACGAAAATTGGAGAAAAAATCGAAAAAAAATTCATAACTCGAACAATTTTAGACCAAATTTTTATTTCTTGGTCACAAATTAAAGGGGGATTATTGCTCTTTAATAAAATGTGACTATTGCAATTTTTTTCTATAAACTGTATTAGCTAGCGTACGTTGTTTTTGCGTTGATTGAACCGTATTGGGCCACCGCGCTACTATATGTGTGTCGGCGCCTATGGATTCTTCTGATGGCTGGCGGCCGGCGGGTCGCTAGTTTCACCGAGCCATTTTTTTCGGTAAATAATTGAATTCTCGTAGAATTTTCTAACAAAATTTGATTTAATAATAATCCCAGGATTTCAATGATTTTTAATGCAATTTTAATCAAATTCCTTGAAAAATTTAATTATTCTTAAGAATTTTATTAAAATTCGTCAAAAGAATTCTATTATTTAAAAATTCGTTGGTAAAATTCTTTTTGAAAATTGAATTTTAAGGAAGATTCAATTATTCAAGAAATTATTTTCGTATTTAAATATTTGAATTCTCGTGGAATTTTCTAATGAAAATTAATTCAAAAAAATAACTTTTGCATAAAAATTTGAAGTTTTAATTTTCTAACTTGTATTTAATTGAAGAATTTCTGAATAATCAATGAAATTTTGTAAAATTGAATTGTAAACAAATGAATTTGAAAATTCTCAAAGAACTTTTTCAAAAATTATTAAAAATAATAGATTTATAGAAGAATTTTAGTTAAAAACACTAGAAAAAAATTCAAATTTTGGAGAAGTTACAAATTATTGTAGAAATTCAATTATTATTTTTAAGAGTAATAAAATTCTTGTAAAGGATTCAATTATTTTTACTAATAATAAAACTCATCGCAGATTTTCAATTATTTTTCGTACAATTTTAATTGTAATTCCTTGAAAATAGTAATTATTTTCATGCAAGTTTTAATAAAATTCTACAAAAGAATTCAATTACTTAAAAATTTGTTGATAAAATTCTTTATGAGAATTCAATTTTGAGAAACATTTTCTAATAAAAATTGATTTAAAAATGAATTTCAGTTAAAATTTTAGATTATAATTGAATATTAAAACCAATATAGCGTCAATTTTTAGAAATAATTGAATTTTCAAAATAATTATTTTGATAAAGTGTAATTGATTTTTTTATAGGTATTATTTGAAGGTTTTATTTTCTAATATGCATTTAATTGAAGAATTTAGGAATAATTGAAATTTCCTGAAATTGAATATTGTAAACAAATGGATTGGAAAATTGACTAATAACTTTTTCGAAAATTATTAAAAATAATTTATCTAAAGTAGAATTTTAGTTAAAAGTTTTTGAAAATAATAATTGAATTGAAATGATGAAAATAATTTTGAAGAAGTAAAATATTCTTATAATATAAAATAATTATTTTATCACTGGGCCATCTTTAATTATTATAAAACATGAATAGTTTTATAGTAAGGAAAAAATTTAATTTATAGTTTTCTTCCGCTAAGGATAGAAATAGTTAAAATATTCTCAAAATAATACACGACAACAATTTGAATGATGAAAATTAATATTAATATAATTATTGAATAAAATTGAAAGGAAATAAATTGCTGAGGAAAATAAAAGCGAATAAAATTGAGGAAAAATAATAATGGACATAAAATTGAAAAGGTCATAATTAAAAAAAATAAACAGTCACTGTCATCGGACGATATTAATGATTAATGAATGAATTTGGTCATTACTTTTAGTGGTTTTCTTCATCGTCGAAAAAGAAATACATTAGGAATAATTAATCTTGAATTATTTGCGGAAGCTTCTTGGGAGGAAAATGTGAATAGAATTTGTGTACATGTATATATACAACTATGAGCCAATCTAGTTTCCTTAGCGCCGGATCGTTAGGGTCAACAACCGGAAATACGCACAGGGTTGATTGCCCAGGAAAAAGATACCTATAAATTTTGTGGAGTGACAATCTTATAGATTGTGTTACTGTCTCTATAACAACACGTTTCTAGAACGATGGGAGAGAAAGGGAGACAAAAGGAAAGAAAAATAGAGAAAAAGAGAGGAGAGAGAAAGAGAGACAAAGAGAAAACAAAAGAAAAAAAGAAAGAGAGAAGAAAAGAGCTTTTATAGAATCATAAAAGT